TTTAATTAGTTTCTAAGTTCAAATGGAAAAGAAAGCTGAAGACACAAGGACATATTTGGTTGATAGATCCTTTATTTCCCACTGCACATATCAGATTATCCAAACATAGAGTGCAGTATTAAATGTTTTTTTTGTTTGTTTGTTTTTTTGTGATTGGTCATTAATCAGATTTAAGCATAAAATGAAGGTCTTAAAAATCATAAATGTGTTACACAGTTTGTCAAAATGCTTTTAAAAACCAGTAGTTGCTGCCTCGTGCTTTGTTGAACAGTTTTTAGTGTTTACTGTAAGTGTGTGGTAAAATACGAGACACAGCTTGAGTCTCTTTTTCAGGTCTGTTGTTGTTTTTGTTTGCTGCCATTGCAGGTGAAATATCAGCGCTTTTACTGTCCAAATTAACTGGACTAAAGCCCAATAAAATGCAGTAGAGTTTGAGTAAACAAACGTATTTACGTGCTCGGTTGAAATCACTAATTAGGATCACAATGTTCAAGAAATAACAGTAGTTGCGGAGAGCTTTTAACAGCGTCTGTTAGAACACGCGGTGGATCGTGAAGTGTTAAAGAAGTTATAATGGTGGCCATTTTCTTACAAGCTGTTTACTACTTAAAGCGAAGCCTTTTAATATTTATGGTGTTTACATTGTGCTCCCAGTGTAGCTGAATGTTGAAAAGTCTGTACCCTTCCATTAAGGTGTGAATACTTAATGGATGTTAATGTGATCTGGATAAATGGAGCTCTTTTTCTCAGGCTGACGCTTCCATCTTCATGTTTGCATTTTCGCATGCCGTGGGACGCAAATTGGCATGTTGGATAATTTCTGTTACATAATCCAAATAAGCCCGCTGTGACCTTGATATGAAGCGACCCGTTAAATGAGAGAGCCTCGTGTGACTCGATGGCGTGATGACGGGGCGCACGAGAGTCTTTTTCATCTTCCAGGAGCCGCTTCTTCCTGCGCTCACACTTTCTAATTTTGAATACTCCTAATTCCCTGCCCCATTTCCTCACTCCCTCAGCTTGAAATGAGTTAAATTTAGCCGTTTTTTTGTTTCTGATGGGGGAGAAAATGGGACGCCGGAAACAAGGCCACATCAAAGCAGGTTCTTGTTGCTAATCGATCCCCCCCCTCCCTCTCCTCCACAGGGAACTATGGCTTCCTGGACCAGATCGCAGCTCTGAAGTGGGTCCAGAGAAACATCCACGTGTTTGGAGGAGATCCTGGGAAAGTCACCATATTTGGACAGAGCTCAGGTATGAAAACAGTAAACAAACAAAAAAAAGTAGACAAAATGTGTTATTATATCATGCTGGGACACACACAGTAACACTAGCAGCAGCACAGTATGGACCTCTACCTACAATATTAATACATCAGAGATGGTTTAACACCACAGAAAGATTCCTTCAGATGTTGTTGTGATTACATTGAACAAAGTCAGTTTTACGTTACAGTAACCACTTGCTTGTAGGTAGCAACGCATGCAATAATCAGTGTGGGTCTTGAGACAAAGCAAATTAACCCTCTGAATTATAGCAGTTTCTGGGCATTTTAATGGTTCCTGTCACATTTTTACTCACTGTGGGCTCATGTTTCTCTGCAGTATAAACAGCTGCACCTCTATGGAAACAGTGCAACCATTGCAAGAAGTAGAGAGAACTTAAACATGTTCTCTGTGCAGTATGACACAGGTTGAACGTTTTTCTAAGTGCCTGGCGTTACCAACACTGGGAAAAATTGTGACTCTTCTGGTTCTGCATATTTAACTGCTTTCTCTACTTACCCTATTCTGCACATCAACTGTACAAAGATCTTTCACCATACTCAATGTATCTTGAAAAACTTGCTGACAACTTGCTCCTGTGTATACTGTTTTTGAGCTATGCTGCATTTATCTTGTGGTCTCTTCTTTGCTCTATACAAACACAGCCTGCAGTTCAACTGAAACGTCTCTAAACACAGCTAAGTCAGTCAGGGCTTCTCAGTTGTGCAGAGATTTTGTTTTGTTTTTTACTGAATCTTGCATTTTTTTGAATGAGACATCAAAAATAACATGATTTTGATTAAATATTACAATTTTCAGTTCAGAGTTGGTTAATTTTCCTGACAGAACCACACATCACACATGATTAGTTTAATCACTGTTAAAAAGTTGAAAATCTGAAGATGATTAATACTAAATGGTATAATACTTGCAAGTCTTAAAAAAAATGAAAACATGCCTTTCAAACATACCAGGGCTGATGAGCAGCTGGTTTCAAATATAAACAAAACTGCAGACACTGAGATCCACACACCAGTGGCTGCAGACAGGACTTGAAAGCAAGAGCTAAGACATAAGTAAATGATGTGCACTTCAGAATCATTTTAACAGCTGCAAAAAATGGCAGATATGAAGAGCGGAATCTATTAAGCTACTCATGTATGTGTGCAAAGCCGTTATTTTTGTGATAAAAAGGCTAATTTCTCAGTGTTATTCTGGTGCTGGCAGCATTGGTTTATGGAGGTGTTATTCATTATTCTTCTAATATTTTCGGGTCACCAAGTCAATTCGGATTAGCTTTTTGGCTTCATGTGTTATGGCAGTGTTTAAAAGATGCTCGCTGTGTTATTTATTCTTATCCAACCTAACAAATCTTCAACTTCACCTGTTTTGTTTTATTTTTTGTGGTGTGGTGAAGGTGGGACCTCTGTCTGGACCCTGATGATGTCCCCGCTGGCCAAAGATCTTTTCCATGCAGCGGTGGACATGAGCGGCTCGTACGTCTATAACGCGACGCTGGAACAGGCCGAGTCCGACAACCTGGTATTTCTGAATAAGACGACCTGCAAAGATGTGGCCTGTCTCAGACGTCTCTCTGTCAGACAAGTCCTGCAGGTAAGAAGCAAGATAGAGTTCCTTCAGAAAGTATTCACCTTCCTGTTTTGCTTTTTAACATTTAGTCATGGTCAATTAAATTTGGCTGTTTTGACAAAATGTTACAAAAACAAAGACTTTCATGTCAAAAATTAATTTCTACCAAGTAATGTCAATTAATTACAAAATGTAACATAAGTGACTGCACAATTATCCACCCCCTTTAAAGTAATTCATCTAATTCAACACAGGTGCAGTCAAGTGGTGCTATTCACACAGTTAGTGAAATGGAGATCATCTGAGTTCAGTAAATGTTTTTCAGTGATTGTAGTATAAAGACACCTGTATCTGGAAGGTCCAGTCACTAATGAATCAGTACTCCTGAATATAGCTACACCATAAAGACAAAAGAGCACTCCAGGCAACTCTATTGAGGGTTATTGAAAAGCATAGGTCAAAGGATGAATACAAGAAAATTTCCAAGTGACTGAATGCATCTCAGAGTACAGTTTAATCCATCGTTAAGAAATAGAAGGAATATGGCATATGTGCAAATCTGCCAAGAGCAGACCATCCTCAAAAACTGAGTGACCGAGCAAGAAAGAGACGAGTGAGGGAGGCCATCAAGACACCTATGACTCCTCTGAAGGAGTTGAGAGCTTCAGCGGCTGAGGTGGAAGAGACTGTGCATACAGCAACTGTTTCCTGGTCTTCGTCAGCCAAAGCTTTATTAGTGAGTGACAAAAACAAAGCCACTGTTAGTAAAGCTCATATTAAATCAAGACTATAGTTTACCAGAAGGCATGTGGGAGACTCTGAAGTCAAATTAAAGAAGATTCTTTGGTCTAATGAGAATGAAAATGAAGCTTTTTGTCCATTAGACTAGACGCGACGTTTGGTGGATATCAAACATGGCACACCATCACGAATACACCACCCCTAACATGAAGCATGGTGGTGGCAGCATCATGATGTAACGATGCTTTTCATGGCCATGGAGGTCTTGTAAAGATTGAGGGTAAAATGAATGCAGCAAAGTATAGGGAAATTCTGAAGGACAACTTGATGCAATCTGCAAGAGAACTGTGACTTGTTTTCAAACACCACAATGACCCAAAACATACAGCCAAAGCTTCACAGACATGGTTTAAAGACAAGTGAATGTTCTGGAGTGGCCAAGTCGAAGCACAGACCTCAGTCTAACTGAAAATTTGTTGCTGGACTCGAAAAGGGTTGTTCATTTATGATCCCAGTGCAACCTGACAGAGTTTGAACAAATGAATGGGATAAAATTGCAGTTTAAGATATGCCGGGCTGACCGAGACCTTTCCGCACAGGCTCAATGCTGCAAATGTGGCCAAAGGTGCATCTAAATACTGACTTGAAGGATCGCTAATACATTTTCTATTTTTAAATTGACATTACTTTGTAGCAATCTGCTTTCACTTTGACAGAAAAGAGTCTTTTTTTTTCTTCAGGTAAAATCCAGAAAGCTAAATTAAATTGACCATGAAGGAATGTTGAAGAGTAATAAAAAGGGAAAACTTTAAAGAGAAGTGAATACTTTTTATGGGAAGAGTTCTATCTAGAGTTGTGTAAAAAAAAAAAAACGAGTGAAGGTCTCATAAAGAGGATGTTCAGTAATTAAAGAAATCTAATAACAGAAAAATACATTACAGTAGTTATTCTCTTTAATATTCTCTTTAATATTTGACGATTTCATAAAAGATCTAATTCGTAGCTCATCTTTATGATCAGTAAAGACATTTTGACAAAATTTAAAATTGCCTTTTCATTCTGATGGATTAAAATGTCACATCCAGGTATCGGAGGACCAGAACTTCACAAATTTTACCGTGAAACTTAATGAATAAATGGGACACTAAACATAATGGAGAGACAAATCTGCAGCCATGATTAAACACAGGTATTCAGCGCCTCCCCTCTGAAACCCCCATCAGGATTTATTAAATACAAGATCCTCCAAGGAGGAACAAGTTCACTTGCGAAGCGCTTCAGTGTAACATTTGTGACTGTGACCTGCGGACGAATTATGAATAATACGTAGCCCTGATGACTGCTCAAGTTTTATAAGCGAGACATCTTACTGTTATTAGATTTTTAAAATGTCACAGTAAATGTTTCCAGCTGCCACTCAGGATAGAAGAAAAGAAGAGTTTGCATGTAAATTGTTTTGTTTTTTATTATTGTTTTGTAACATTTTTATTAAATGCTTACATTTATTTTTGTGTTGTGATTCACAAGTTTAAGTAAACAGATGAATTTTTCCTTATTTTACCAACTGGTTGAAATGAGTTTCCTTATTTTACCAACTGGTTGAAATGAGTTTCCTTTTACACCTGATTTCACAACATTATTCATTAATGTGTCCTTTTACTGACCCCAAAAAAAACTCTGCACTCCAAAAATGGTTCCAAACACAAGAGGAGACGGTACAGAGAGTCTTTACAGCTGCACAAGGATGATTATGTAACAACTTTTCCACTGATATGCCTGTTTAAAACTTGTGTGGCTGCTCTTTTCCAATTGGGGAAGTGAGCTATTATGAATGCTTTGCTCGTATCTCCGCTGCCTTTATTTATACACATAATGCACTTGGTTGTATTAAAAATAGAAGCGCTTTAATTATTCATTCTAACTTTTCATATTTGCAGCTTTTAAACCCCCTCTAGTTTTCAGACCACTATTTGTGTGATATGAATTCTTAGTTTTGGTTAGTAAGCAACATGTCAGTAAATAGTAGATGCATGTGTTCACCCACCAGGGGGCGCTGCAGAAAAATAAACATCGGCTCCATTTGAAACCATGAATATTTACACTGATGTTTTCCCAGGCCATCCCGTGGCAGGACTACCCCTCCTGGGCAGCAGATGAGCTGGTGGACATTCCCACTAAAGGTCAGCGTATCGGCCCGGTCGCAGTGGTGGACGGATACGTCCTCGAAGCTCCACCTTTTGAGGTTTGGGAGAAAGCCGGAACCCACAACGACGTCCCTTTCCTCGTGGGGACGACGGCGCAGGAGGTCGACTTCAGGTAAGAGCTCAACTGGTTCAGGTTGTTCACAGTTAGCTGGTGCTGAGCTGAACTCTACTCAGTGTTCTCTGTTTCCTCCACAGCCCTCCAGCTGAAAACATCTCAATGTGGACGTGGGGCGACTACCAGTGGTTTGTAACAGGTAACTTCAATGAAAGTGTGTAGACGGCTGTAGGGAGCTACATTTTCAGTGGGTGTAGCCACTAAAACCTCAGACGTGCTCGTTTCCATTAAGCTGACTGTAAACAAGTGTGTCTGAATGTGCACCTTGCTCTTTTTTCTATAAAAGTTCTTTAAAAGTAATCTTACAAGGTCCGATCTTACAAGGTTTCTGCATCATTTACAACATGAGCTGCACCCAGTCACACTAACGGATAGTCACACACAGGTGGCAGCACTTCATATTGTGTGAAGTGTTTAAGAGAAGGCTTTTTCCTCATTTCAGCCGCAATATTCATTCAAAAACATCACAAAAAGAATATTCACTAAGTTTTTTAAATACCTGCAGCATCAGACAGCAGCAGGATCCATGTGAGCGTCTCCAAAGCAAGACAGTTGCATGCATTTTTGCAGGTGGAATGACAGTGCAGGTAACTTCAATAGATGCATGTACTTGTTTCCGGCTCCTTCTACTCAGTGTCACAGCCATGTGTGACGTAGCCTAAACTGTCACCATCTGACTTCTCTATTCAGCTTAGTTTATCCGCTTCAGAGCAGTGAATAAAATCAAGTCTCATTTGCATTCGCTTGCTTACTTTTTTGAGGTATTAAAAAGTAAGCAAGCAAATGAGGTAACAAGTTCCCTTCAAAAGTCGTCAAGAATTTATGTCCTCCGTGGCAGCCTTCACAAATGCTTTCAGAGATTGTTAACTTCTATAACTTCCTATGAACAGACTGAAAATCGTAGCCAGCCAACGCAGTGTTAGTGCAACCTATAATGCAACACTTTCTGCAGAAGACCATAAATATACTTTCACTTTTTCCAGAACGCAACTTAGTAAAAACTAGCCAGAGTTAGTTGTGTTTAGTTCTGAGTCCATTAACAAAGAGTCCGGTGGTGCTGAAGCAGGCGACTAGCTTCACATTTCTGCTCAGACAAAAAGAAAAGGAGGGTTTTTTGCCATCTCTCATATTCACCACAGAACATAAGGGATGCCATGTTTTGCAAATCTTCTGAATTCACCCCATCCTTCACAGGGCTTACCTGTCCACCTCGTCTTCTTGTGCACAAGCAAATATGCCTCTTTGCTGGAACACCGCCATGTGGACGAGTCGAGCCACTTTGTTGTAGGGCTTTGTAGCGCATGCAAAAACTGGGCAGCCTGCAGACAGCGAGACAAGCTGTACTAGATGATACATACTCATACGACACGTTAAGTATAACTTAATCAGGACAAATAGCAATTTGTCTATTATTTGTAAACAATTAGGTCTACAGCACAGCAACATGGCTCTAAATAGCTGCCAAAGTGACTCTGTACATGTAATTTTACAGGTATACATGTAATATATATATATATCTTTTGGCCTGATGGATTCAAGGTTGGAGGCATCACATGTAAAGAATGTCAATAATGTCTCTGTAGGTTAAGTATGTGAGCTGACATGGTGCATGGTGCCAGATGGTAACACTGCATGTATGATACTTTCAGAGCATGTTGTTCAGTAAACTCTAAATGCATGTGAGCCTGCTGGGTATGTAATGCCAGCTGATGTGCACAGAAAGTAGGTTAGTGCATAAATTTTATTTATATGGAACCTTTCAGAAGCAGATGGCACAAAGTGCTTCACTCCAATAAACTAAAAGAGCGGCAGACCACCAGATAGAATCATGAGCCAAAGCAATAACAAAGATAAACAAAATAAAATGAACAAAAGCAAGTCTAAACAAATGGGTCTTAAACTGCCTTTTAAAAGTGACCCTGCACTTACAAATTATTTCAGACTCTGAGAAGAGACGTTTCTGTTGGAAACCAGACTGACACCTGTTGAAAATGATGTTGCTGTGAGTTGCTTCATACTTTTTTTTTATAACACAGTGGCTACAATAAACACAAGACATGTGCAGACAGCTTTAGTTTCTACATTCGCAGTCCATGTATTGTGTAAAACAAGAACCTTTTCTTACGGTTTCTGTTCTTAGACTCAGCACAGCGCAGCGTTTGTGTAATATGATTAAGCTAACATCCATAGACTGAGGAAGACTCTCTGAGGGATAAAGTTATGAAGCAACTGTCAGCTGACGTGGGCAAATAAAAGCCGACAGGGTCATCTGTCCTCTTCTCAACACTCAGCTCCTTGGTGCTTTTCCTTGCCTCCTCTCTTCATGTCTTAGTCACCTGAGATGCAGGCAGAGGAGACAGTTAAAGACACAAGGAAAGAAAACTCACTTCAGAGCCGTCATTTTAATGTGACGTCAGTTAAATATTTTGCATAGCACCTCTGTCCCATCTGTTCATTGTTTTGTTACAGCTCAGTGCTGTATTTTATGATCTGTCAGATGAGTAACACTGAGATCCTGATAACACAGCATATATTTTATATTATTCGTGTAATATATTATTAATAATTCGATTGACCTTGGGGCATGAAGTGACAAGAATGTACGGTTGTTATACTTTTTTTTTTTTTAATTGAACACTGACACATGTTGAATTAAAATGGCTGTGAAGTATAAAAGACATATAAAAGAGCACTATACAAAGAGTGATATACTTTGCAGTAAAAATATAAGAAGAGACTGGTTGATTTTTATGTTTGCACTGTAAATCTCTGCTGACACACTGCTGGTCAAGGCAGTTTCATTAACTATAGTTGAAACTTAATGTTGCAGCAGCTTTGCAAACAGTCAAATATGGTCTTATGTTGTGCATTCAGTGTCGCTACGACATTAGACCTTAGCTTGAATTACAAGAAGGTCTGTAGTTCTGTGTAGGGATGCAAATTTTGAGCTATTTTTTTCACCGACAATCCGCAGCTCATCAATGATCTAACTAATAACAGCAAATTACTTTAGACATAAGCTGGTCCACAGGCCCATGTAATAGGAGCTTTGGTCGGAAGGCATCAGGCGTCACAGGAGACCTTCTCATGGTGGCATTTTTAGCTAAATTCCTACAATGCTCTCTGCGGCCAACATAGAACTGCTGGTAGTCCAAGTGACCACTTTCTTGGGCCATTAAACAGAAAGAGGCTCCCTCTGGTGGCATAATCAAGTGTTACAGGTGATCTGCATTCCATTTTCTGACATCCATGTCCTTCTGCTTTATCATTATTTTTAATCAATTAAGTTGTTGTTTGCAATTGCTTGATGAAGGATTAATCATTAACATCCCTAGTGGTTCTGCAAATGAAGGGTCAAGACATGTTTTTCTGAGAAGGATTATGGAGACCACATAAGGACGAATCAAATCAATAACATTTTTAAACAAAGAATCTTGTACAGTATCAAGAGAACTACAGGCTTTCATACCCAGTTCGTTGAGCTCTTGTGGTGAGAAAGCTTCTGAATCTTTAATTAACTTGCAAAGTGGTTTGTAGAATTTTCTTTAGCCATGGGAACAGTTTTTCCTTTTAGAACTAATGAAAAGGTCATTATATTTAAATCTGTACACAACGGGCAAGTCATGTTGGTCATGAGAGGCCGTCTCTGTTCTAACACTCGGTTGTGTGTACATGCAGAACTCCTGTATATTTAAAGATATTTATTTTTGTGTGCACACACACTGTGGCTCCCTGCCTCCTGCTTGTGCAGCTATTATCAAAAACTCCTCTTCTCCCTCGAGTTCAATTAAATGTTTTCTACCAGCGTTTTGTGATTCATGCTGTTAGTATATGTTGAGAGAACAACATGACTGCCAATAATAGGAGCAGGATTAACAAGTTTATTAAAAGGGCTGGTCCTGGGTGTCTTCTGGCTAAATGTTTACTGCAGATCGATGGGTGGGAGACGAAGCTCCACAGAACAATTCAGAAGCTCCTGTTCTGTGCCTACAGTTATAAAAATTCATCAAAAAGAGATTAATCCAGAAACACTAAACATCATCAGGAATTCTCCACAAAAACAGTATCAGCAGTCGCCTCACGTCATCCGTTATACTCACCGCAGTCTAAATATGAGTCGCTAAAATGCTCTAACATGCTGTATTTATTACCATATTTATCTGTCTGTCTCCTCTCCGCTTTCTCAGATAAACTTAAGTCCTTCAGCGAGAATCTCCCCAAAGAGGCGTTGAAGCTTTACCCGAGCTCGGCCAAGTGTCCCACCAAAGATCGCTGCCCGGAGCGAGCTTACACCACCATGGTGTCCGACATCAGGGTCACCTGCCCCAACAACGACCTGGCCAGGAGGGCTGCAGGTAAAACTGAGTTCTCCCATCATTAAAACATCTGCACCCACAACAGTTTCTGGATGTTTTTTTGTTTTTTTTTCTCACTGTGGGCTCATTTTTCACTGCAATATAAAGTCCTGCCCCTCTATGGAAACAGAACAACCCTGGATAGAGGTAGAAGGAACTCAGAACTGTCTTTTGTACAGTGTGACACAGCTATAATGCCATGAATGATTTAACACTACCTGCAGTCCAGTCGAGAAGCATACTTTTTCTTCAAGCTTTTTAAAAAGATATATACATTACACATTTTTCCTAAACTGTTTATTTTTGGCAATTTTTTAAATGAGACATCCATCCATCCATTGTCTATACACCGCTTAATCCTCACTAGGGTCGCCAGTCTATCACAGGGCTGAAATGAGACATGCAGAATAAAATGATGAAATATGATTTTAAGATTAGATGTGGTTCATTTTCCCACCATAACCTCATGTCACACATGATTCGTTCAAATAATGTCAATAAGTTAAACATCCAATGATTCTTTTTGTTTTTACAGTTTGTTACTCTGATAAACGCTGTAATTTTGGCAATTTTTTAAAAATGATAACACGCCTTTTAAACCTGCCGATGTGTTTCAGGGTTCAGAGAGTTCAAATCATAAGCTGTCCTGCTTCCTCGGCTTAAAACAAATCAATGATTAATGATGATTAAAGGGCTGCAGCAAAAAAACCAGCAGGGATCTGAGTCCTGCTGGGTGACTACCGAGATGAATTAATGCTAAAAATGAGCTTCAGATCATCTAATTTAGCTGTCAAACTATAGCAGAAGTCCCATGTTACTGTGGACCTGCACAGCATTTTTAATTAACTTTTTAAAAACAGCATCAGTTGTATCAGGATCCAAACAGGTGAATATCACTATTCAACGCCTGGAAAAACAGAGAAAAGGCATCATTATAGACTTCATATCGATAGATTTATAGATTTGGACTATTTATAATGATAATTGTTAGTTAAACCTTGATTTTTGTTTGTTTTAATCCACGTGCACCAAAGACATTTTAGTTGAATGGTCGTTAGATTTAAATTTTTATATGCAGATGAGTATAAGTCACAGGTCTGGATTCCCAAAACGTTGTTGTGATATTATGTTTCTAATTCTAATGACTTTTTGGCAGCTGTAGACAAACTATTCAGGTACCTCATTGATTTACACTTGAACTTCTTCTTAGCAGTCTTCAGATCTTTCCAAAAGGTTGCTCAGCATAAAAAAAACTTTCTTCAGCAGGTCTGGTTTTAATTTCCACACCTGTGATCTATAAATGTCAAATCAACTTAAAATGACGACACCTGCCTTGTAATTCCAGCACAAATGAGGGTTTAGTGAGGAGTAGCAACGAATGCAAAGAGCAAAGCTTTGTGCAAGACAAGTTCATGGTGATGATAGAGGAGATAGAAATCAGGCAACATGTGGTATTCTTTAGACTAAATAATGGGTTGACAGAGAAATCCAAACATAAAGCTTGGAATTGTGTTGCCAGTACAGTGAATGAGGTGCAGCAGAAAGACTGTGGTTCATATTAAAAATCCATGATGTGACCTTTAGCTAGAGGGGAAACAAAGCAAAGCCGTGGTTAGTTCTTTCTAATTTCTCACACAGTCATACAACGTTGCATCCTTTTTTAAACTTCTGAACCCTAAACTCACCACTGGGTTTAAAAGGCATGTTTTTTTTTGTTTAGTTTTTTTTAATTACCAAAATGACACCATTTATAAGAGCCACAAACTGTAAAATCCGAAAAAAATCTGTGGATTTTCACATTTCCGACAGACCATGAACTCCCCATGTGTGACTTCCTCTTTCATCAAGAAAAATCTCCAAATCTCAGCTTAAAATTGTGATATTTTCTCTAAAACACGTTTCTCTACATTCCTCATTGTAAAATGCTCAGAGCTCAGAGGAGACACGTATAGAAACAAATTTAAAAATGTAAAATATTTTTATTTTATTATTTATTTCGAAAGTATTTGTCCCTGCAGATTTTCCTCTTCTGACGTCACAAGTAAAATATTTTGCCTCTCTGCATTACAGTAAATAAAGGATAGTATTAGTATACATTAGGAGTAGTTTCAGTCGTCTCTCTGTTTGGCCGCTGCAGCCCTTGAATGCAGCAGGACTCCGCCTCGTGTAGGTTTTGTGCCTCTGGGGCTTGTTAAACTCACTCAGTGGTGAAGCGCAGAATAAAATGACATTTAGCTGTTGTGAGAGGTGACTGCAGGGCATCCTGGCTGATTTATTTATTTATTTGTTTGGCCTGCATGCTTCATTGGGTTTTTCATGTTGTGCAGCTTGTTTTTTCCCCCGTTTGCTGAATCACAGCCAATGTGGACTGAAAATAAATGATAAATGAGAGACTAAAGATTCATACCAAAGAAAAAAAAACAAACTACTTTGAATATTTATTGTTACCTGAAACATGGAAGAAGCTAATATTCCGTAAAAGCTGAATTAAGCTGAGAAACATGTAACAGCTGGACACGTTCTGGATTTTTCCCACGAACAAACCACATTAACTCAAGTGCCGTACATGAGTGCAGATCTGATGTGCTTTACTTGCATATTAACGTTTTCTGCTGCTCTGACTGCACAACATTTCAAAGGGAAATGCTGCTGCACTACGTTAATCTGACAGCTTTAATTAACCTTCGGAACCCGACTGACTCACTGAGCGCCAAGTAGGCAACTGCATGTTTGTCCCTCAGTGATCAAAACAATGACATTTATTTCCGTTAGCCACTAAGCGCATACATTTCTCAGTTTGTACAACATACAGCATCCCACCGTCGTAGGTCTGATAATGTCACATTCCACACAATCTCCCCTACAAAATTAGAAAACGATATCTATCCAGCATTTTATGATGATACCTGATATGAAGGCTAATATAAAAAGGTCTGGAAGAATTATTATCAAGATCTGGATATTGGAGACTGTTCTGAACAGAGAATAAGATACAGCGTGTTACAGCTATTTCTTAAAATGCTCAAGATAAGAGCCTAAAAGTAAAGGCAGTGAAATTACCTTGAAATTAGCCTAGGGCTCCTAGTTAATGTATGTTATGAAGGATTTTGCAAACAAAACGTGATGTTCTTACAAAACGTTGTTGTAAATTAAACTACCCAGAAGTAAATACAGAAAATAGAGCTGAAACAATTCGTGAAATGACAGAAGAAGGAAGAGAGAAGTGAAAAATGTCCCCTGTGCAATGTGACGGTTATATTACAATAAATCCATCCATCCATTATCTATACACCGCTTAATCCTCACTAGGGTCATGGGGTGCTGGAGTCTATCCCAGCTGACTTAGGGTGAAGGCAGGAGACACCCTGGACAGGTCACCAGTCTATCACAGGGCCACACTTAGAGACAGACAACCAAGAACACTCACATTCACACCTGCGGACAATTTAGAATCAATTAACCTCAACATATTTTTGGACTGAGTGGGAGGAAGTCAGAGAACCCACGCTGCATGGGGAGAACATGCAAACTCCACGCAGAAAGATCCTGGGTGTCCTCACTGGAACGCGAACCGGCGACCTCCTTGCTGCGAGGCAACAGTGTTAACCACTGTTCCACCATGCAGCCCATACAATAAATCATTAATAAAAAAGAGAAAAAAAATAAAGTTGAATTTATTTAGTTGTTTCACAGAAATTAAAAGAAACTACAACAACATATTTCAATATAGGTGTTACCAATACTAGGATGAATGGTGGCTCCACACTATAGATGTTTTATAGATTTACAGTTATATTTTTATTCCATTCTTGTCTCCTGTCTGCTTGATGTGGATACAGCTTTCAGTGTTTATCACATGACTGTTTGTCACCGTTGAACCATTAATGGCTTCTTCGTTCCCCAGAGGAGTGTAGAATGTTTAGTTTTTTACAAAACCTGGTTGGTCCAAATGTTTGGGGGTTTTTTTGTTGCCATATTTCTGAAGGAGACACATAGAGTAAAGTGATTTTGAATTCAAACATATATTTGGTTATTTTTCCAGATAAAACTGACAGTCACGCATGATGAGTTCAAGGACCCTCAGGAAGTTGAAAATCCAATAGTTTTTTCTGTTTGAACAGTTTCTGCCTGTTAATGGTGTAGAAATGCAAAAGTAGACATGTTTCCCAGCTTGAGTTGGTTATTTCTTAAAATTTCCTGCTTTTTCCATTTTTTTTGTAAAAGTAAATTCCTATTTTTTAAATGTTTTGAACAGTTGGTCAAAGACAACAGGCGGTATGATGGCCTTTCCTCTGGCTTTAAGGAATCATTACAGACATTTTTCACCGTTTTCTGGCATTTCATAGAAAAAAACACGAGAAATGATATTTAAACTAATTGGAGCCCCAGGACCATGTGAAGTGAGTGATGTAAGCAAATTTAAAAGTATCTTTTATCAGAAATTGTTTTGAAATAGTCTCAGTGCCAGATGTGTTGTTTCATATCTGGCAGCTTCTGAAAAAAGACTTCATTTTATAGTGCAGCTTTTTCAAAAAAGGATAATAATAATAAAAACATAGTTGCTGGATCTTCAAGGTTTTGTGTGTAGGACAGGGGGACACAACATATGTATATCAGTCCTCCAGTAAGGTGCAGCATCTGTGTATATTTGCCAATATTGTGTCTTTTCACATTGATTGTTAAGATAAAGTTTAACAACCTGTTTTTTCTCAGCGGTTCTGAACAGTCCTGTGTATCGATACGTGGTGACTCATACGCCGTCCGGACCCGTCAACACAACCAGCGATTTGCTGCCGTTCCCCAGCCGGTTCTCCTTCCACTGCCTGGACGCCGTGGCTTTCTTCGGAGGGCTGGAGCTCTTCCTGGGAAAACCTTTGTCTGCTGAGGACAGGAACTTCCAGGATCTCATCACACGGCGCTTCGTCAGCTTTGCCAAAACAGGTGAGGCTGTTACCTGTTGATGTTTCTTCTGGAGGTGATGTTGAATCGTTTGAACACCCAAACTCTCTGTTAAGTGTCAAATGTCTGTGAACTGTCAGAAGAAGGTGTTTGAGTTGATTGTCTCTTAAGAACAACCAAAGCTGTAAAGGTGAAATATGAGTTGTGTAAATCTGACCTCAGAAGGATAGATGGACCAACCGTTCTATATCTAACAGGCACTGTTTGGTGTTTATCACAAATCAGTGGTTGGAATCTAACAGCTTAACAAAACAGATAGATGCGGAATCCAGTTGTTTAAAGTCCCATATTTTTCCCCCTTTTCAGCAAATTAATCAAAGTTTCACATTTCCCCAGAATGTGTCTTTTAATTTTCAAATACTGCAAATATGCTTCATTTCACCAGACGTGTACAGGTCATGGTTTTAGAGCTGTTCTGAGTGAAACAGAACAAATAAAACACCAGCTGAGTTCAGGTTGCAATGACACACAAACAGTGGCATTAAATACAGTAACCAACCCAGTCCTTGTTTATTGGTTATAAATGAAAGTTTCTCTTTATGTCCTTTAGCTTTTAGCACTTCCCACAGAATTCTCACCGTATGATTAAAGCTAATGGTAACTCTAGCCACATCGGCCGCACAACATGCTAACACTGAGGATATCAAAAAATGGATAAAGTTGATGTTAAATTTCTCAAATGCTGTGAGTGCATGAAGACTCTTGTGTTCACTCTCACAGCAAACTGCAGATCATTTGGGGTGCTTCGTTCATGGTTGAGAAATTTTAGAGTCATTTTAGAGAGATGGCTGTTTATTCTGAATGTCACACCTGGAAGCAGTGAGGAGGCAAGATCCTACAAGCTGTGAGCTACACAATTATTGATACTGGATAAAATCTTTGCTGATTTGTAAAGTTGTGAGGCCATTTAAAAGATTGGTAATAGTCAGTGTTCTCACATAATCGCAGCTTTTATTAAACACCTACAAGGCTTTAAGACGTATAAAACATATTAAAAACAGATTTTTCCCACATGGAACCTTTCAGATCATGCCCTTCCCACATCCATGCTCCCCTTCACTTTCTTTCTTCCGTTTTCCCACTGCTGAAATACAGCAATTTGGTATCACTGGATTCAGAAAATGCTCATCTTTTCAAAAAATTAAAGATTTTCTTTTAATTCTTATGTAATTTTTAAAGTGGCAGTCACTGCTGCATGCTGAGTTTTGCAGTATTTTGATAGTAGAAGTTGCAGGATTACTAATGAGAGGTAAATGAATCACTCCTTTCCAACTGAACAGATGCCATCAGGTGGAAAGGGGTCAAGCGATTCCCTCGTCCTGCTGCTACTTGATTCTGGATTTTGCCTTGAAGTCACTCTGTGCTTGTCTTTCTGTCTTGCAGGTAAGATGGAGACCGATTGGCCTGAATACCCAGCAGCCACCGCTCTTCTGTCCCACAACTTAACGGTGGTCCCGAGCTACTCGCCGGCTCAGTGTGAGCTGTGGAAGCGGAGCGGCCTGTTTGACTACGCCTGGATGAACTGAGCACAACAGCTCAAAGTCACTTTGTTGTTGCAGCTCAGATCCTGCAGCAGCCGTTCCACTGGCTGTGAGTGTGAAACCTCACCGGAAATCCTACACTTTGTTGTTCTGAAGTCATTGTATTGTACTGAAGTGTAACAACAGCCACATTTTCTCACTTAGCCCCTGGTGGTATCTCTCCATGCAGATATTTGTGTCTAGATTTACCCTGATGCAAATCAGGTGAATGAAATATCATTTATGAATCTGACGGCAGTGAAAAACGAGCTTTTATTGCATTAAAACATTCAACAGAAAAGTGCCTTTCCAGAAACAATGCTGTTATTTTAAAAGACACAGACAGTTGAACCTGTTTGTATAAAATACCACTGGAGGAAAGTGTTTTTTGTGTTTTAATTTGGGTGTATCTGCCCTTTAGCAGGTTTCGTGTGATGTACAGCAAACCTGAATACTCATGAGGGAAGCGTGTAGACCAAAGTGAGCTGTGCAGTGGAGGTAATGTGATTTGTGAAGGGTTTAGAGGAAAGAGGAAGTTATTTTTATGCAATGTCAGTGTGTAATATGAGGCATCCTGTGTTGGAAAGTTACAATTAAGGAAATATATCATCCAGAATATTTAAAACAAGTAAGAAGTTTTATTTCTGTAATCATCAGGAAAAAAAGCATCATCAGATCTGTCCGACCAGCTCAAACAAGGACGCTTTGAGTTAAAAACAGTTCTCCAGTTATCGCTGTAATGCCACTTTTGCAGGAAGTCTGACAAGCAGCAGAGTTAAACATGTAGAAATCTGCTGTCCTACTGACCCCAAACTCTATCATTTAAAACAGGCGACACACGGCAGCCTCAAAGTAGTCGTTTGGCTTTTTAGGATTTCATCAGGGGTCAAACACTTTAACATTCCTCCTGTTTTATAGAGTTTTATAGAAATCACACTATTAAGGGAAAGAAATGTTGCTGTATCTGCAAAAATATTACATCAGGAAGGAGTAATATTTGTTGTTAAATATTAAAATGATGCTAAAACAAAAATACGTTCAGATGGTAGATGTTTGAAGTTACCGCCTCAAAAGCTTAAAGGGAATTCAACACGTGCAAAGTTTAATAACGAAGACGTCCAGTTGTGTTATTGTTATGTGGATTTCTGTGGTCTAATCAGGGAAAATTTCGATGTGTGAAGTGGATTTAAGAAGGAACGCTTGATTTGTGTAGTTGTTATTGTAGCCTGTGGACTCGCTTACGAGCTGCAGGACGTCTGCTTTGTGAATTTTGTCGAGTTCTGCTGTTTGCACTGATTCATAACGCTTGGCCACTAAGTATTTGCACTTTCCTGTGGACTCGTGCTATCACTTGTATGTTTTATTTGAAGTCATAATTAACCGAAGCTAACCTGTTTATTCATTCCATTTTTTTTTTGTTTTGTGTGAAGCTTAACCAAATTTACACACATCTTTATTTTAACTAAATTACAGATGAAGTTACATTTTTAACCACTTGTTAGCTTTGCATTGTGTTTTTTTGTTTTTTTTTATGGTTTGCAGACACTCAGGCATCATATTTTGCTGTGTTGATGCAGTGAAATTCACCCTTTATATGCTTAATAAACTGACACCATGTGAAGTATTTTTATTTGTAGTATCCTTTATTTCAGACTCTGTAATCATAAAGAATCTTTTAAGGATGTTAAAGATCTCTCTTATCTACTGCAGCTCAGTTTCCATCCACTTGTAGCACAGAGTTTAACTGAATTTTGGGAGAAGAAATTGCTAACAATGCCCATAAAAAATTGTCTGGCTCCATCACTGTGTCGACTTTGCATTATTTAGTGCAGCGCTTCCCAAATTTTTCAGCTTCCAATTGAAAAAATAGCGACACCAGAGACTCCCACTGTCCCTGGAGGTGCCTGAAGCATAAAAACACACACTAAAAGGCCCAACAGAACACAGCGCAATAGAACCCAACAGCCTAAAAAGCACAATATTAATATACAGTCATTTATTGTAGCAGTAGTTAAAGTGATCTCCATGTATAAACTGTAGTACAGAGAAAATGTACAGTCTGTAGGAGCAGCAGACTCAAGCTTTTCTGATCTTTTATAAGAATACGGACTAAAATTTACTGTTTGTGATCATTTCTTAATTTTATTTGATTTCTAGGCGATCATCTCACGACCTCTTTGCGGTGTCTCGACCCTCATTTTGGGAACCACAGCTCTATAGGACAACCTGCTCTGAAAATCACTGTTTGCTAGTTAGCTGAAGGTTATTGTGTAAGAAAA